AGCGTGCGCAGAGGGGACGGAGACGCAGCGGGGAGGGCGGGGTGGGATGAAGCAGCTGTCGGTGCTGCCAGCTAGTAAATACGGGGACGGACAGCTTGTCCCCCAGGTGGGAAGAACCACGCCTTTCTTCTCATCTCCAGGATCTAGCGGTGGGTCTAGAGCACGGGAAGGGTTCAGTAGGCAATTACTGAAACAGTAAACAAATGAGTGAATAATGACTATAGAAATTGTGCATACACAAAGGACTGGCCTTTCAGGTCCTTCGCAGGTAGCTGGCTGACCGGCCACAGCAACTGTTGGTCACATCTGTCACCCTGAGAATGCTTGGGGCCAGGTGAATGTTCGAGAGTCCAGGCTGCCCAGCCCTGAGACCTCATCAGGAGAGCTGCTATGTGAGCCACTTATGAAGAAGCCACTTAAGTGGATTCCTCGACTCTCCTTGGTAAGTTATTCTGTTCATGACTCTCCCTGGAGAAGTATCCAAGGGTCTAACAAGCCATGTAAGCAAGGCGATTTTTCATACCATGCAGCTGAAATCTCCCCATTTGGGTAAGCATAGTCAATTTTATTCTCTTGTCTCCAGGGAGACACAGAGCAGTCTCTCATGGTCGTCCACACCACTGCCTTGGGTGCCCCCGGAGACCATGAGAAAGTCAGCTTCCTCTCCTGCGCGGGAGAGCAGAGCCTGTGAGCATTCCTCGGTTTTCTTCAGCTGGATTGTCACCCCCACCCTGTCCCCTGTGATGTGCGCCAAGGACGGCTCCAGTCCTGTCCTGGCAGGGTCCCCAGCCAAAGACAACTCTACCTGCTCTTCATTTGTCACATGCTGAAGCCATCCCTACCCTGAAGAACTCCCAATAGGCTTACTAAATATCCCTTTCAAAGCTGTTCATTTATCACCATTGTGGTAGCAGGCCAGTCAAAGAGAAACCCATTTTCCCCGTTTCTGATCATCTGAGTATGCAGGCAAAGATGCCTGCCTCGAATCCTTCACGTCGGCTAATGCCATGCAGTCATATCTGCAGAAGTCTCCAAAGGAAAAACGGTGTCAGGCCACAGTGCTGCTAAGTTCCCTCGGCTTGCACGCTAGTGTGCTGAGACACGCCGAGCAGGCCTGACCTCCGGGGTGTGCCAGAGATGCACAGAAGGCCCCCGGCTGCCCTCGGCATCTGCGGTTATTAGATGTCCTTGCAGGGATGATGTGTAAGACAAGGAAGGATACCTCCAGACAGACAACTCAATCGTATTCGAGGTTAGCCAGGATAAGACTTCACATAAATAGACAAACACACGTGGGGGCGGGGCTTCACGGAAAGACACAAAAAAGAAACTCCGAGTGCTCTCAATGCAGGCAGAGATTCCTCCGCAAAGGATAGATGAAGAGAGACACCGTCTGGGGAAAAATTTTGAAATCACTTGGTTTTCAATGCAAATTGGCCATGGACACTGACCACATAAAGACGGTGGGGGGAAGCGAGGGGAAGACACTTCCTCAACACTTTACATATGTTTTCTCATTTAATCCCGTTTAATTTAGCCAAATCCGTTTTCCCTGTTTTCAGATCCAATTCTGGAAGCAACACGGTTATCTGTCATGAAAAACTGAGCTCCCAGACCAACGCCATCCCGGACACGATTCTGGCAGAATGGAGGCCTCCCCACGTCCGCCTTCTCCTTCCCTCTGACAAGGGGCCAGCCAGGCGGGATTTATTACCTATGATGTCATTGAAGCTCCAACAAAAGTCACCCTAAAAGCCAACAGCCAGTAATTGGGAGGCCACGGGGAGGCACGGGGGAAAATTCCGTCAGCCCACCCCTGGTGCTGGGTGCCACCTCCCTGGGGCTAATGGGGTCCCCGAGCCTAGTGCGTTGCTGAAGCCCCTCCCCACTAGGAGGGGATGATGCTCAGAAAGCTCGCTGGTGAACCTGAACTGCAGCTGTGCTCTCCGTACCCAAAGGAGGATTACTCATTTCAGTCTGACTCATTATAATTAGAGTAGATTTCCTTTGGGGAGCAATATTTACTTTTTAAAATAAAATGGCAATGAGGGATTTGTTAGTGTTTGCAAGGCCTGCTCACGGGTTGCAGATTTCCTTTGCCGAGGGAGTGAGCATCCAGAGTAGCTGTCACCAGGGTGCCAGTCCTGGGCTCAGGCTTTCCTCAGGGGAGGGCAGCTGAGAGCGCACACGAACCCCTAAACCACGGGTCAGCAACCACAGCCGTCGGGCCAAAATGCCTGTTTTCCTAAAGTTTTATCAGAACGAAACAATGTCCATCTCTTTCTATATTGCCTGCAAATGCTTTCTCTCTACAATAGCAAAGCGGACTAGTTGAGACCAAGATCCTATGGGCTTGCAAAGCCTAAAACATCTGCTACGGGCCCCCTACAGGAAAAGAGTGCCGAGCCCTGCTCCGATGGATAGGATGCTCTCAAGGGTGAGTTACATTGCCTACTACATTCAGTACAAGAACTGTATCATAAAAACCCCAAAGTTCAAAAAAGTTTAAGAACTCAAAACTTTCACGAGCCCATTAGTCCTTTTGGTGCTATGGCCAAATATCAGCAATTACTACTTCACTGAACATTCATTTCCTTGGAGCAGAAAGGAAGTCGAACTTCCCTCACCGGAAGTAATATCCTGAACACCTACACAGGTCCTGGCTACTTGCCTCCACCCACTTGCTTTGTGTTTAAGTGACTGAGGATCACAAGAATGTATTAAGTGATTAATCAATCCGTTCACGCATTCATTTTTGACCTCAACAAATATTTACTGAGCGCCAGGTGCTGTGCTAGGCACCCAGAATACAAGATGACAGTGCTGGATGCCCAGATGAAGGTGGCTGAACGGGGGTGAGACACATCGGTGGCAGCAAGACATCGTAGTGACCGGAAGCTCGCATGGGGACGGAGGAGGCCGGAGGTGGAGCCCAGAGGCGCGGGGAGGGGTCAGGGAAGCTTTCTCAGAGAAGCTGATGCGTGTTTAGCTTTGCTGCCAGTTCCTCTTTAAGAGGTTAAGTGTGAGGACTCTGTAATCACTCAGGCCCACCCTCGCCCCTAGAAAGCATGACCTGAGTATAAAGTCAATTGTCCCAGAGGCAGCAGTGGCTTCGGGCAGGGAATGGGCTGGCCTAGCAAGTAAGGGGTCTGGAGAGTGAGCAGTGTGGCGCCCCGTCTGCCTCCAAATTGCAGATGTAATTCTAACGTCATGCACGCACACGCATACACACACACACACACACACACACGCACACACACACACACACGCTTCCTCCTTAGGTAAACTGTGGGTTAGGTTTTCTGCAAACTGTAGGATCAGGTTGAACGGCCTCTGTTCCAGGGTCTGGCCTCTCCTGCGTGCCGAGGGTGAGGCGTGGGTCCATAAGCTTCGTGATTATCCCTGGGTGACAAGGAGAGAGGCGGCAGGTCTGCGGAAAGAGGCGCCGGCCAGCGTGTGAGTCACGATGTCCTTTTCCTGACGTCTGTGAGGAGGCTGCCCAGCCCGAGCTCTTCCACGAGTCGGGGCGGGGGGTGAGGCCAGCGGGCGAGGCTGTGGGCAGCAGGCCGCCCAAAGACCATGGGGAGCAGGGAGAGACTCTGTGGAGGTGACAGGTCACTTGTACGTAAGGATGGGACGGATAGGGGAATGACCTGCTTCCCAGAAACACCTTCAGTCAGGATTTCAGAGGGCTTTAAAGTGGGCTGTTGGAGACTCGGTCTTGAACAGGGCTCCCTCCTGGGAGCTGCAGGTCCTCCTTGTGGGAGGGTTAGCGCCTCTGAGGAAAAGCGAGCTTCATCTCCTTGCACTGACTGGTGGGTCGGTATCCCCCTGCCATGGCCTCCGGCCTCCCCTCACTTGCTGACTCCCCTTGGCTAGATGCGCTTTCCGGATCCTGATGACGGTGTGCCTGGCGCCGGGTCCCCGTGGTAATAGCCAGGCCAGCGCTGTGGCCCACATCCTCCTGTTTCTTTAAACCATTTCAGGGCAATGGAACCAACATGCAACCAAGGGAATATAATCGCACCACTGGGAAAAACGAGACTATTTTAATTCCTAAGACAGAAGACAGACTGTCCAATATTATCTCACCCCAAGCTTTTGAAAACAATCATTTTCTGTGTTATTTTAGGAAAAGAGTTTTTCAAATGCAGCTTTACGGAATCAGCATCAAGACGCAGGAGGACGTGGTGAGCGGGACCCTGGCCGCGTCACTTGACCTCATACTGCAGGGGCTTCCTGCATGGGGCGCTGCAACCCCCGGGAAGAAGATTCGGGTAATGCTCGAGCCGGAACACACCTGAGAGATCGTCTTACCCCGCCTTTCACTCAACATCCGGCGGGCTGACTGCAGCCCGACAGCTGAGGGTTCCGATAACACCCAGGACTAGAGCCCTCGCCTCTTGCCTGCTGTTTGCTCAGAGCCCTTCGTGCTAGACCGGCCTGGCCGTTCAGTTTCTGGAAACATGTCGGTTTTGCCAACCGGAGTGGGAGTCCGTGTAGGTGTCTGATGTGGAGCCGTGAGGCTGCTCTGGCTGTATGCTGACCTTACACGCAGGGAGCCCGGCCCCACAAAGGCCAGCAAATCCACCTTCTCGTAAAACCCTCGGAAGAACAGGGCCAGACTTCCAAGAGCAAAGCAAAAGAAACTTTCAATGACTACACGATTCTGCTAATTCCTATTGACAGTCCTTTTGACAAGGCTTACCCCTTGACTTCACAGTAAGCCTGTGATCTACACACAGCTACAGTTGGGGCTATCAGGATATCAGGGTATTGGATCTGGGGACCACAGTACAGCCTGTTCCAATTTCAAGATAATTCTCTAACAACAACAACAACAACAAAAAATGACCATTTTACACATGCAAATATTCTGGTGTCCTTTTCCAAAATGTATCTCACACAAACCCAGACATCGAGTGTCATGAGACAGATTCAGCCTCTAATGTGTAAACTTCATCAAATTCAAACCTGGTCACTGAGCTTGATTGGCTTACCAGCTGCTGGCCTTTAGGACCCCAGCCCGCATACTGAAGTTTTGCGTTGCTCACTTCCGGTGGGTCCAGACTTTGAGGATCCCTGAAAGAAAACAAATAAATAGATAAATAATCAATCAATCAATTAACATTGTGGGAAACAAGAATGCTGTATGTTTATCCTCCAGCTCTAACTTTTTCCCTTCTTCCACTGTATGAATTTCAAGAGCTCCTGTTATTAAAGAATGTCTCAGCCTCTGTTAGATTTCCTCAGATGTACATAATTTATATGAAGCTGAACCAGTCCCATCACTGCTTAACCCAGATAGTAAATATTTATCAAGAGACAACATGCAGAGAGGTCTGTAGATCAATTAACATTTTAATGTTGACCCATCAACATCAAAAATGGAAATGCATGGCTATGCAGTAACAAGTCCCCACGATTTCTATTTTCATCTTGGGCTTTCCTGGCGGATCACTTTTTTTCTAAGCATAATGCCAGGGCATTCTGACCTTCCCAAACCAGCAGCCTGAGGGCAGATTCCACACTTTGGTTTGTGCTGGGAAGGAGGGAAGGAGGATGCAGGGAGGGGAAGATTGACAGAAAGATTTTTTTTCCTTTCAAACATCACTTAGATTTTTCATTCTTAATTCACTGATATGCAAAATACTACGCTAACAAAATCCTACTTACATACTTAAATAAACGTCATAATGAAGAAGTCATAATGAAAGAATGAAAAAACCTAACACTTTTATAAGTATAAAATACTTCAGTATATTTTGTAGTTAACACTGTTTTCTACAGCATGTGGAAAAGATTAATTTTCCTATTTCTTCCAGGTGACATATTATCTGTGTTCTGCTGGACAGGCCAGACTCTGTCAGGTGCATACCCTCTTACTTGGCTGTGACATGCAGAAGACACAGCTATGCGTTCATCTACTGAGCACATCTACATAGCACTCATGCATCTACTGAGAGGCTGTGGCTGAGTGGTCTTCGGAAGAGGAAGATGCTGAAGTTTAGGAGTTGCTTGAACAAAAGAGACGAGGCAAGAAGGAAGGGAGGTAAAGTGTAGGTACTGATTCTGGGCTTGAATCAGCAGAAAATTCTAAAGCAACTGCTTACTGATACCACCAGAACAAAACAGAACACACTTAGGAGTAAAAAGTGTTGGGGAAGGCGAGATAGTCTGCGATACCCCAGAGTAGTTTTACAGGGGGTCCCTGGGTGTAAAGAGATCAGGGAAGCCTGAAGATGGGGTGATTAGGTGTTAAGTAAGGGATGGCAATGATAATAGGATTCAGCTGGGAAGGTTGATGACCAGGCAGTTAAAAGAGTAAGGGAGGGGTCTTAACTTTCCCGGTTTTGAATGAATTTTAACAAACCCTACCATTTGTATGTTTTTAATGTTTCAAAGTATTTTCATAACATGGGCCATTTCCTCTTTAACTGTGGGTAGGGAACGGCTTTCTAAGGACTCAAAATCCAGAAGTGATTAAAGAGTGACACATTTGACTATGTAAAATTTTTAAACTTTTTGCATAACAAACACATCACAAACAAAAGACAACTGACAAACTGGGAGAAAATATTTGTAACATATACCATGGAAAAATAGCTAATATCCATAATATATAAAAAATACCCTAAAAAATTGAGGTTACAAAAAAACCGAAAAAAAAAATTAGAAACATGAGAAAAAGACATGAACAGACAATTCACAAAAAGGATATAAAAGGTCCTCAGATGTATTAAAAAGGACCAAACAATGCAAAATTATGGAAATCGAAACTGAAACTACATCGAGATAGCATTTTTCACCTATGACATTGCTCCCCTCCCCAAAAGAAACAAAAGTATGGCACACTGTATTGGTGAGGCTGTGAGGAAAACGCCATCCTCATACTTTGCTGGTGGGCATGAAAACTCGTGCAAACCTTTCAGAGGGAAACTTGGTCATACCCAATAAAATACATACTTAACCCTTGAACTAGAACACTTCTGGGAAGATATACCTCCCACACTACAAAAATACGCAGAAGGTTACATTCATTGCAGCTTTGTAATGACAAAACACTGGAAACAATATGTGTTTGAGGAAACCATGGTACATCCATACAAATGGAATATGGTACAGCTGTCAGAAAGAATGAAGACCTCCATAGACTGATATGGAGTGCTTTTCATGATGGAGTATGCAAAACTCAACAGACCATCTAGAGTATGTGACCCATCATATAAGAAAGGGATAGAAGAAAATATACACGTATCCTCATTTGTGAAATAAAAGAAATACAAGAAACATAAACCAGAAACCAGAGGTTAGTCATGTGTAGGGGGTGGGTGGGAAGAAGCAGGGCTTGGTCATGAGGAGGCTGGATAAGAAAGGAGAAGCACTTCTCTGGGTATATTTATTGGTATAATGCCCAGTCTTAGACCACAGCAGGGTTTCACATACTTTTTGCATACTCTACAAATAAAACTAAGAATTAAAAACAATCAGGATGTGGGGGAACCCAAAAAGGAAGAGCAACACCAGAACAGAGCAAAACCCTGTTGGAAATGAAGCACAAAACTACACGGAAGGGGTGGGGAAGGAAAGAACCAACATAAGTAACTTTGGGAAACAGTATCGTGACTGGATATCATAAAAACAAAAAGATCAGAGGACAATGGGTTAGTAATTCTGAAACGACTTTATGTGTGTGCTAGAATTAAACTATTCTGCAAATATATAAATATAGTGGAGATAAAGAGAGCCAGTTTTCTTACTGCTGGAAAAACAAATTATAAGGAAAAGGGGAGGGCTAAAATGAACTGTGTGAAGTTGGCCTGGAATCAGAGGTATCAGTACAAACTCATGATTTCGAATATATACACACATACATCCAAAATGTAGATATATGTGTCTCCCGGGGTTAGTGGGCATACATAGATGTCCTTGCTCTGTTCACAGAGAGGCCTAGAACCAATGACCCCCAGTAACAATGAGCACACCCACTGCCCATATCTTGGTGTCTAAACACCATCAACCAAGGAAAGTAAATAGGGCTCCTAGGGGATGTAATCGTATCCGGACTGGAACAGAGAAAATACAGAATGAGTCTGGAACATCTTAAGGGTCCAGAAAGTGAGGAAATACTCAAAAGAGACAGAGGCTGGTTCAAGGAACACAGAAGCCAACCTGAAGGAGTTTCTCATGGCCAAAGCTAGATAAATCTGAGCAACTAAATAATCAATAAGAGTATCAGATTAACCCATAGGATAAAATCAATATTCGTAAGTCCATACTAATATACATAAGTAATCAAATACATAAAGCAGCTCTTCCTCATGAGAGAATCCCAATTAATAAGTGTAGAATGAAGGAAGAAAAAAGCATTATACATGTGGTATTTTTCACTCAAAATGGGCATAAACCTCACTTCAATCATGAGAAAACACCAGACTGGGGCACCTGGGTGGCTCAGTAGGTTAAAGCGTCTGCCTTCGGCTCAGGTCATGAAGCCAGGGTCCTGGGATCGAGCCCTGCATCGGGCTCCCTGGTCCCTGGGAAGCCTGCTTCTCCCTCTCCCGCTCCCCCTGCTTGTGTTCCCTCTCTTGCTGTCTCTCTCTCTGTCAAATAAATAAATAAAATCTTAAAAAAAAAGAGAAAACACCAGACAAACCCAAACTGACGCACACTTTACAGAACAGCTGACCAATAATCTTTCAAAGTGTCAAGGTCATGACCAACAAGGAAAGACTGACGAAATGTTGCCAACTGGAGGGCATTAAGGAGAACTAATGTCTAAAGGAATGTGGGATCCCAGGACAGGAAGGAGACATTGGTAGAAAAATAGGTAAAATTCAAATAAGTTGAATTAATAGCAAGGTGCCAATGTTAATTTCCTGTTCCTGATAATGACATTGTGGTGATAAAACACACTAACAATATTTCAGGAGTATAGGAGAAGTAGGGATAGGGGTAGAGGGGAATCATTTGTACTGTTTTTGCCATCTTTCTTTGCCTAAAATTACTTTAAAATAGAAAGCTAAAAAAAATCTCATTGGTTATGAAAAATATTATAGAAAGAAATGAAAGTGAGAGAATTTCCCTCCCAACATACTGTAATCTTGATATTGAATTGGAAACAAGTCTTTGATACTTAGCATGGCATAGGTGCTCATACACGCATCTGAATAAACAGATGAGTAAGGATGGATGGGTTATGGGGGTGGCTCTAAGTAAAAGACCTTTTGCAAGTTTAAAGACAAACCTAATGAATTCATTAGGTCTGGGTTTACCTAGAATTTTCCAAGCATGGAGCACAGAATAAGAAATTTTCAAATCCCATAGTCTTACTGAATATTGAAATGCACTTTATTAGGTAATGATTTCTAGGAGGAGTCTTGGATAATGGGGAACGGCAGGAGATTAGTCTCTCTCTAATCTAACAAGTGTAAATCCTCATAAATGCTAACTGGAGATGGTATCTCCAAGTAGACAAAGTGCCCCAGAGGATTTCATGAGCACCCGCCAACAACACCATGACCACATGTGCATCCGGCCTTTGTTACCTTCACTCCTTCTGGAGGGCTCACATACGCTCCCTTTCTCTCATCGTCAGCACATGAGACACATTTCTACATCGAGAAGACAGCAATCGTTAACAGGAAAAGCCTGTGCTCCAGCCCCATGTCACACAGATCGGGTGCTGGGTGCAATTCTCAGACTAGCCTCAACGAGGAAGGGGGTAATAGTTACCCTCTCCTCCACAGGATGGTCGTGAAATCAAGAGAAACAATGAATGTTACTTTATAAACTCTAACATGCTCTAAAGAAGGAGTTGTTTTTTATTTTCCTAGCTAGTGAATCTCTGAAAGCTCAACTCCTCCATGACGACCGAACTGAGTTGCCGAGTTGCCTCGGTCTGTGTTTAGGAAAACACCATAGTGCATGCACTTCACACAGGGCAGGGAGCTCGGCTGTGGTGTGGAAAGAGCTCTAAGAGGCTATAAAAGTAATTCTGAATTCTGCCACTAATTGGCGGGGGGTGTGTGGGGCAATAGAGAAACTTAATCTAAGTTGGTTTTCTCGTGTATAAAATGAGA